TAGGTTGGAGGCCATCGCTATTAGGTTGGAGGCATCGCTACTAGGTTGGAGGCCATCGCTAGTAGGTTGGAGGCCATTGCTCTTGGGTTGGAAGCCATCGCTACTAGCTTGGAAGCCATCGCGATTAGGTTGGAGGATAAAGCCGTGAAGCAAAACCATCGCTTGGACAGGTAGTTCTTCTATGTTTGTGTTTTCTTTGGAATATCTTGGTCCTGTGATGATTGTCTCCTGTGGAGGGGTTGGAACTCGTGAATGAGGCTGGTGGCCAAGTTGATGGCAATGCTTCAACGCATTGTTTTGACAACAACACAACATAACATAACTACTTCTGTTCTTAGGTCCTTACCCCCCGTCACATGAGTTTTGCTTTTTGAACAACATGCGACTACTCAACCCCTGAGGGCTGATTTGCCTATTTTTTGCATCCTTGCCTGGAACAAGAACTCTATTTATTCTACATGATGCTACTACAAGGCCGTTTCACTTGCATTGAACTGCAAACAAGACCTTGGTACTACATAGTCTGTACATAGTCACAGTTGTTTTCCTCTATGCTTAGATCAAGGCTCAGGTGAGGTCTTCGCATTTACTGCGGCTGTTCTTTTTGACACCTACCTGGAAAGCAATGAGTTGTTAGTCTCAATCCCAAGGTGGAGCGAGAGGTGAAGAAGGTTGAGGAATCTCAGCTGAACATTTGGCGTGTGTCCTTTTGAAGATCAATGATGCAAGGTATCCGTGTGAGCCACAAGCCGAGCACACTCCAGATATATGCCATCATACTCCTGCTATTTCGTTCTGCCACTCATTTTCCGGTTTGGTCTTCAACATGCTTATACCAGCCTACTTCGTTGTCCCATGGTTTCGCCAACAATCTATGTTTCTAAGATACACGTTCAACAGGACATTTAAGGTACGGTCAAAAATCACGGAAGACTACACATGCATGTGGGATCTAAAGATGCAGGTTCTAGCCGCAAAACGATAATACACCCACCAACCTGAAAAGCGATGAGGCACTCACCAAATCCTGATGTCCTTTGGTTTAGGAATGAATGTCGACCGTGGCTCAAATATTGTTTGGGCATTGCTTTTTGTTCGACAAAGCTATTGGGTTGGAGGCCATCGCTTTCAATTAGGTTGGAGGCCATCGCTAGTAGGTTGGAGGCCATCGCTACTAGGTTGGAGGCCGTCGCTATTAGGTTGGAGGCCATCGCCAATAGTTTTGCCCTCTCTTTTTTTTGCTTCTTGCGTTGAACAAGGTCGCCGCAGAGCCTTTGCTTGCGAGTTCTAGTTTCTTGGTCCGTGGGAACCTGCACCGCCTCAGTGGTTTGGTTCAGGAGAACAATTTGTCGGCATCATCATGGCTTGCTCTTCTATGGGCCATTTATTTTTCCTTCACTTCAGTTTTTGTTGGTGCTTGTGCTTTTCTGCTCCGTTTTTGTCCTTCAAAGATTTGTTTTTGGCTTGTGCGGCCAGGACCATATTAGCAAAGGCTCTTCGAAAGACTCGGTTTTCCAGCAGGTCCACAGTCTAAAGTTTTTGCACATTCTGTTGTGCTAGGGTGGAGGCCATCACTAGTAGGTTTGAGGCCATGGCTTTGACAAGTTTGCAAGCTTGTTTTGGTTAGTAGCTTCTTGTTACTAGTAGCGTCCTTGCTCCTAGTAGTATGGCCAGGAACCCCAGTAGCGTCCTTGTTCCTAGTAGCGATGCCAGTAGCGTCCTTGTTCCTAGGCATGTGGTGAACGAGAACGTGTCACACTCGAAGGCTTCCAGGCGGAGCTTGACGGTAGATCTATCCTCGATACTTTTGCGTCACGGCAGTCGACGGGGCAGTGTGAAACACATGGCATTTCTCGGTTTTGCGTGGTCCAATTGCTTACGTCTCCTTTGCTCAGAATGCCATTTCTTGGAGTCAAGAAGAAGCATGTTTGTGAGAGGTAGAGACACAAAACCTAAGACAACACCATGAGCAAAACTTCACACGGAGCGTAAAGGCAGATATTTTGCGCAGAAGGGATGTGCCAAGTCATGCCCATATGGAAGGGGGACGTTCTGTTCTGCCTTCTTTGCAATTGAAGGTTGCTAGTGCTGTATTTTGACGCTTCAATGCCATACGTGCCAGCATATTCTTGACGTTGTGCTGCTGCTGCTGCTGCCGCGATGACAGCAGCAACAACAACTACAACATTTCAAAAGAAAGAAAGACAGAAAGAAAGAACGAAAGAAAGACAGAAAAAGAAAGAAAGAAAGAAAAACAAAGAAAGAAAGAAAGAACAGAAAAGAAAAGAAAATAAATAAATAAATAAAGAAAGACAAACAGACAGACAGACAGACAGACAGACAGACCGCAATAAAGACACCTCCAACCTACTAGCGATTGCCTCCAACCTACTAGAGAAAGCCTGCACCCTAGTAGCAAAGGCCTCCAACCTACTAGCTATGGCCTCCAACCTACTAGCCTGCAACCTACTAGCTATGGCCTCCAACCTACTAGCCTGCAACCTACTAGCAATGGCCTCAAACCTACTAGCGATGGCATCCAGCCTACTAGCGATGGCCTCCAACATACTAGAGAAAGCCTCCACCCTAGTAGAGATGGGCAACCTACTAGCGATGGCCTCTAACCTAGTAGCGATGGCCTCCAACCTACTAGCGATGGCCTCCAACCTACTAAACGATGGCTTCCAACCTACTAGCGGTGGCCGCCAACCTACTAAACGATGGCCTCCAACCTACTAGCGATGGCCTCCAATTTACTAGCGATTGCCTCCCACCTACTAGCGATGCCCTCCAATCTACTAGCGATGGCCTCCAACCTACTAGCGATGGCCTCCAACCTACT